TTTTAAAAGAGCAGACTAAAAAGAGGATAATTCTGTTTTTGTCTCATCCTAAAACGTAGGGAGTATCACTTTCGAAAAACGTGAAGTGACATTTTCGGTGGTGATAAGGGTTATTACGCAAGTGAAGCGCTGATTACTTTTCGTTTTAGTTGAGACAAAAATAGATTTTGTTTTTTAAAATTTCTATGCCTTTTGAATAACGTAATTTTAAAAAAATTTACGTTATTTCTTAATTTTCTTCTTCTTAGTCCTATGTCTGTTCAATTTTCAAGAAATTTTGATCGGTGATAAATTTTGTTTGCAACATTAAGGTAAGAATTCGACGATGAGCTTTTTATTTTGGACTTAAATCAAAGTACGTGTTTAAGAAAATGGAAACAGATAAAACTGAGTGTCTAAGAAAATGGACACAACTCAAGATGCATGTTTAAATGGATACAACTGAAAAAAACGTATTTAAGAAAACTGACGCAGTTTGAAATTTATGTGTAAAAAATGGATACAACAAAAAATGCGCCTTTTCAGAACTCAAATTTAATAATTAAACGTGGAATTTCGTACTTATTTTTCCTTACTTTTAAGCATAATCAATACGGGGCTAAGTCCCGAACTTCTGTGTCAGGATGTGGCTGGGTATATAACATATAGTCATAATTCAAAACGGATAAAATGGTTTTTAAGAGGTTTAATTCAGACAACGTAAATTTAATACTACTATTATAAATTTATAGGATCCGTGACAACCTTGTAAAAACAACTGTTGACAGTCTTTTCTAAAAATGATTAATTTAAAAAAAAATTTTTAAAATAAATTTAGGAAAATGAACTGCATTACGAACGTATTTAGATTCATTAGTTTATTCGTTAGAAAAAGAACAGTTTTCATACGAGAAGTTTGAAAAACACAATCAAATACTGTGTCCGTTTTCTTAAACACGCATTTTGAATTGTGTCTATCTTCTTTAACACGCTTTTTCAGCTGTGTCAATTTTTTAAACACACATTTTGAGCAGTGTCAATTTTTTAAACATGCATTTTGAGTTGTTTCTATTTTCTTAAACACGTATTTTGAGCAGTATCAATTTTTTAAACGCTTATTTTGAGCTGTATCCGTTTTCTTAAACATGCATTTTGAGTTGTGTCTATTTTCTTAAACACTTATTTTGATCTGTGTCAACTTTTTAAACACTTATTTTAAGTTGTGTCCATTTTCTTAAACACATATTTTGAGCTGTATCCATTTCTTTAAACATCCATTTTGAGCTGCGTTTAGAATAAAAAATCTCCCCTACGAATTGTAACCTAAATCATCAAGAACAGAGTTCCAGGTGAAATTTGAGCACTTAATTATTTAGCGAATGTAAGAAATTTCGATTAACTAGAAATTTTATATAACGATAAATTTGAAATAAATTCTTTTTTTTTTTCAATGATCAAAAAATAAATGAAATAATGTTTTATTCCATCACAGATCACCATTTGAAATTTAACAGCTGTAGTTAATAAGTATGAGAACGTAATTTTTATTGATGATAGATTCCATTCTGTAAGATAGATATTTAGCGTCAATACTTGAAGATGAAAGACGATATATCTTTGTGATGACTTTCCTTAATTTGTGCTATCTGTTCTTTATCTTAATGAAGCCTTTAAGCCGTCTTTACAAGCCTACATGGATGTGTGTAGCAGTAAATAAAATAAATATGCAATTTGTTTTATTATTCAACACAGAGATCCAGTAAAACTTAAAACATTCTAGCTAGTCAAAAAATGATTGAAATTTTGATCGATGATGAACTCTTTTGAAGGATACAATTTAAATAAATTCTACTTACAAAAATATCGTTTTCTACCAGAATTCCAGTTGAAATTTGTGATCTATAGATAGTAAATATAAGATCCAGATATTGATCGACGATAAATTCGATTTATTGTACAATTCCACTTGCAGTGTTCCGAGAACAAATGAAATTTGCATGCCTCATACGGCCAAAGAGTTCAATTCAGATGAAATTTGAGATTTATAGCTAAATTAGAACGTAGTCGAAATTTCGTTAGAGGTTAATTTCCCGAGCAATCAGAAAAATCAAAGAAAGCAACAGAAAAAAGAAAAAAAGAAACAAAAACTTAAAGAAAAAAATTAAAAAAAAAATTTTTTTTGATTTTTTATATAGTACGCTAAATAATTTTTATATAGTACATTTTTGTATGATACGCTAAATATTTAAAAAAAAATTTATTTACCGAAAATCAGTTTTATTTTAAGTTAGTTTTTCGAGTTTCTCTTTTAGCGTCGTTAGTATTAGTAAAGTAAAAAGAAAAATGGTTATCAAGCCGCTTTTTTTCGAAATCTATTACGAAGTACTTACGTTGTTTTTTTAATTGCACGACGGGAAAACTGCAATAATTTTTGCTTGTAGTGGTTTTGGAAGCTATTAGTGCTGCATGAAAATGAAAATGGTATTAAAATTTGCTTGGCAAAAATTTATATTCTGCAGTAAATGACTTAAAGTAGATAGGAAATGATTGAAACTTGTTTTGCAACCAAACGAATAAATTCAGTTGAAATTTGAGTGCTTTAGCCCAAAAATTTATATTCGGCAATAAATAAATGACTTGAAAGGGATACGAAATGATCGAAACTTAATTTTTCATCGAATGAAAAGCTCCAGTTGAAAGATGGGATTTTTAGCTATTTAGAATTTCAGTTAACTGTAAATTCCCTCTGGAAATAAAAATCACGATAAATTATGCCTATAACGGCATGGAAATATAGCATGAAACTTATATTGCCATTTGGCACAGACGTTCAATTTAGATTTGAATGCTCTAGCTAGTAGAAAAGTAGTTGAAATTTTCAATGCATTTTTATCTTCACGCACAGGAAAGCGAATTGATAAAAAAAAGTGGTAAAAATATAAACATATCAAAAGAAAGAGTAAATATAATGAAGTTTTGTTTACAGAAAGTTAGTTTCAAATTGACTGGCCTATCTTATATTGTTTCCATTAAAGGGAAAAAAAGAAACTTACAATTAGAATTAACACAGCTAAAAGTAGTGAATAAAATAATAAAACAGCAATATGTTAAAAATGATGCTCATCTTGAATTCAGAAGGGTTCTACATGAATACTTTATTGCTTTCGAATAAATCCTCTTCAAATTTAATATTCGCTTAATCAGTATTTTTATCAAAATTTTTTATGATGATTGTCTTCATAGTTTCTCTTTTAATCCAAGTTCCTTTGCTAAAATTTCATTACAATAAATTAACTTACCCATAGAACGTTTCTCTCAGATGTTGTTGTTCATTTACGTCGCACTGGAGCTGCACAATGGGCTATTGGCGACGGTCTGGGAAACATCTCTGAGGATGATCCGAAGACATGCCATCACAATTTTGATCCTCTGCGGAGGGGATGGCACCCCCGCTTCGGTGGCCCGACTACCTGCACTTGAAGTCGAGCACTTTACGGTAGAACAGTTTAACGAGGACCAATACCGCACACCCTCGGTCCCTACGCAGACTGATCCAAGTGGTCTCCCACCAGCACACTGACCGCAGTCAGTGATGCTTGACTTCCGTGATCTGCTGGAAATCGTGTCTTAACGATCAGTCCACTGAGGAACCCTTTCTCTCAGAAATATTTTAAGTAAATGAACATTTAATTATTTCTTTTATTTTATAATAATTACTGGAATAGTTTTGAAATAATTTTAGAGAAATCTAGAAATTATAATTAGACAGAAATTAGTAAGATCTGCAACACTCAAGGAGTTAGATCATTTTCAAATAAATATAGATTGTTCGACCCCGTAAGCTTCACATTCTCTATTGATTATTATTCACTTTATTTTGACTCAAATACTAAGCTTCTGGAGCTGTTTAAATGTTGACTTTTGCTCATTGTTATTAAAGGGAGTCTTCAAAGTTCTGTAACCAAAGAAAATAAATGAATAAATAAATCACAGCTTGAGGACCTTATTCTCAAACAAAGTTTTGGTTTTCAACTATATACATTATGTTTGTAAAATAAAATCATGGATTTTAAAACAGTCAAATGGCTTTAAATATCTAAAAAAATCTTACATTTTTGAAAAAAGTCGTTACAAGAATTTTATTCTAGATAAAAATCATTAAAATCAATTACTACATCGTAATTTATGGATATTTTAATGAGATCAAACAATATACTGTTGAATTATTTATTCCAATATTGAAAAACTAAAACGAAATCACTTTTTATTTTCACCAAACTCTTAATTTTCTTCATACTTATATTTTGTGTCCTTTTCGCAATAACAGGTTGAGTACTGCTTAATGATCTATAAAACTCAATCTCACAGCTTTTAGTAACTGTCACATACTCTTGACTGTTATAAAAATAGCATGTTACTAGTTAAAAAACACATTATTTTTTATTATGACAAAAAACAGCCTTTTGCTCAACATTCATCAACAGATCAGTTTTATTTTTTTTAAAGAAAATGTTGGCTAAAAAAACTGATCTTATTTTAAAATGACGAGCATTTACATTAACATGTTATGCTGAAAAAATTCAATAATATTCTTGTTAATATATTTTTTTATTTTATTTGTTGAAACCATTTTCCGGACGTAACATAACGAATAAGACAAAAATGCAATATTAATTTTATATAAGAATTATTAAAATAAATAAATAAATAAAAAGAAATATATATTTATGTTTTTAAATATATTAATAAAATTATTTATTTAATAAAAGCGTTTTAATTGATTTTTCTTTTTAATACTTAAAATGGTTTAGATATATTACGATTAAATAGCATGTCCTATTATGTATCAAATATTTCGTTAAATACTTATTTTAGTTTTGAAAATAATACTAAAGTTTCGCGAACATAATTTTTCTCTTTTAGGAATAAATAAGACGCCAAATAATGCGAAAGTCTGCCAAATTTGATGCGCGTAGAAAACTCAGGTAAATTGTTTGGTAGCACGTTTAACTTCACTCTGATTGGTTTATGAAATCTTTCATCATTTTCGTACAGGTAAGAGTTGGTTCCCTAGGTTACTGGCCAGCGTTCTATCAAACGAGCATGGTGTGTTGTGGACGTGGATATTTCAAAGAATCTTCGTTACGTTAAAGTTTATGTGTCTTGATCTGTCCACTGTAGATATATTTTCAATTTTTATTAATTTTCCTTAAGAACTCGTAAAAGAGTTTTAACTTATGTAAACTGAAATAGCGCGGAAACTTGTCTGCCCTATTTTTTTACAGGTTGAAATCAAGTGGCAAAAGAAAAAATGACAGAATTCACCTGGATACGGTGAGAAATGAATTCTCGATTCGCATGCGAGAGCTGCTATCTTTCGGATATTATACACTTGTTATAGTTTTAAATTCATGATTTTTTCTGTTATTCTAATCAAGAATTTTGAGTGAGTGATTTACCATCAAATATTGTGATTTTATTTTATTGTTAACGAGTATTTTATCTGAAAAACATCGAATAAATGAAAAAGTCGTTTTCTCAAAGTTTTTAAAAATAAATCGTCTGCGATATATTGTAAAGATTGTGATATTTTAGAGTGGAGTTGCTCTTTTAAACTCCAGGAATCGTCTGCCACTGCCATAGCAGTGTTAATGCATTTATCTGTTTTTTTGAGAATTTAAAAGCAATAAAGTCAAATGAAAACAGGCCGTTGGATAAGATTAGAATGTTCGGGATGTTTTGAATTCGCTGTGCTCCGGCCAGCATGACCACCTGCAGGGCGGAAGATATTCAGCAGGAAATGTCATACTCTCACAATTTTTACGGCGATCTGGAAGATTACGTATCCCAGATGGAGAATCAGCAAGCTCAAAATAATGTGGACGCAGACGATGTTTATGCTCAGCTAGCCCGAAAAGAAAAAGACCTGATATTAGCAGCTGAGTTGGGCAAAGCACTTTTAGAAAAAAATGAAGAGATCAGCCGTGCCAATGAAAAATTGACGGAAGAATATTCTCAACAATTAGAGGTAAGGCTATTTTATTTATAAATTTATTAGAATTTCAAATATTAGCAATTTTTTCAACAATACATACGTATTTACTACTATCCGAAAATACTTGTGTTTTAAAATAATGTCCCAAAACTTTTGAGTAAGAACTGAAGCTTTAAGTTGAAAATTTAAGTTTAGATATTGAATTGAAAAATTTAACTCGAACTGCAGTTTTTTTCTCTTTTTATTATTATTATTAAAGAAAATTTTCGCTGAGTGTTACTGTAAACAAATATATTTTCAATCCTTCTGAATAATAAATATCTTTATATATTAAGTATTCATAATTTCAACGAAATCTATTTAAATTTATGAAACATTCGTGATTTAAGATAAACTTTAATATAAGTAGATAATTTCTAATGTAAAAGACAACTATCTACACAATTTATATTGTATATTCGCAAAATTATTTGACTTTTGAGTCACATTTGTTTTTTAATTCTAATGTTGCAGTGAGATGTTCTATTATTATTAAAAGCCTTTTCTTCTATTAAGTATAGGAATAAACCTGCATTCATAATTTCTATATTAGTTCCAAGTTAGTTTCTAAATTAGTTTTTAAATTTTAACAGTCTAATATAATCTAATGCTATTGAATTATTTGTAAAATAATAGAAACAGCCTTAAAACGCCTGAGGAAAAAACTTAATAATTTTTAAGCTTTCATTTTTTAACCTTGGTTGTTTTGATCAAAACAAAACAGAATATAAGGCATTTTTTAGCCAATATGTTATTCTACCGCAATATATATGTGTCGTTATTTTCAAAAGTGATTATGTCCATTTTTTTAATTTTATTTATTTAGGATTGGTGTTTTAATGAATTTAAACATATTGGAAAAATTTAATTATTTTGGGTTGTGTTTTTTAACGCTAAAATTTTATGAAACATAGAAATGCAACAATGATAATTAAAATAATAAGCAAAAATTAGTAAATGACTTTTTAGCTTTAAATGGACTTCAGTTTAAAAAGTAAAAGCATATATATCAAGTTGCGCAAACTTTAAAGCTTATTTTATATTTTAACATATTTTTTATACTTTAATACATTAGAAGTGTAATAATTCAGAGCTAGTGTAAAAATGTCAAAAACTCTCTCTCTCTCTCTCTCTCTCTCTCTCTCTCTCTCTATATCTATATATATATAT